TTTCGCAAAGAGGAGCTCGCCGAAATCATGTGAAGGTGGTAATGACTATCCAATCAAATCTGAAAACGAGGAAATCTCACGAATTTTAAGTAATAACAGCAGCAAACGATATAAAATGATTGGTCACATCACAAGACATTTAATGATTAATACCTGGGGTGTGCGATGGACTTACCTTCATGTGGTGCGACCTGGGGAAAGTATACTCATACAACAAAAAGGTCTATTAACTGGCAGTTGACCTCTGACTTCAAACTACCATGACCCCACTGTATGTCATATTCGACCCCTTCCACAGTACTCATCTAGCATTTTCTCTGCCTTTGTGTCTATCTGTCTCTTTTACATCTGTGAATCGCTCTTCTTTTCCCCTGTCGAATTTTTCTCACTTTAATGTTCTTCCCTTCTGTGAAGCCTAAAGTCAACTAAAGGGCTAATGATAACTCCCAAATTGCCTGCCATTTGAAATAAATAAATAAATTATTAACGCCTAGCATGAAATATCAATGAGAGTACCATTTCTTAGAAACTCAGTCAGGAAAATAAGGTGAGGACTGGTCTCAACAAATGGGGAACTAGTAAAGTTAACTTCATTTAATTATAAATAAGTTATAAGCTGATGGAAAGTAGAGAAAGGTGCATACAACTGGAACCGCACATATTCATAACCTAGTTATCGCAAGAATAGCATTATTACTAGAATAAGATTTAATAAATAATTTCTAATTTTATAAGATAGTTCCTGGGACGTAAATCTCTATTTTTAAAACTTGAATTATAACTCAATGGACAAAGAATTTCTCAAAGTTTAATGAAAAAACAGTGAATAAATTTAACTCAGCAATACCCCCTCCACCGAAAATTAGTCGATTAGGACTTTTTGTATAAGTGTTCAAATGCTTATATAATTGAAGTAGATAAAAGACGATTATGAAATGAATTGCACCCCAATTTGAACCTACGTTGGTTTATGGGGTCCATCTTGGCAATGACCGCGTACAACCCTGAAGGTATATGAATCCGTAGATCGATCTTTAGACCGTATTTTAACATCAGAGGCTTGACCGCATTCAGAACGTCTACGAGACTCTTCAAATAAATTTTGGACAAGGGGAAGAGAAAACGAAAGATGTTGGACACAACAGTGATTTGGAACTGGACAAGTTTTTACGGCGTCAGAAATGGAAGAACTAAAAGGTGAAAAATAATCTTAGTAGATATAGGGGCTAACTGACCCATAAAGTGTATTCAAGCAAACTAACCTTCCCGTATAAGCGTCCATATCGTCAATATCACTCCGAATTTTCTAAATAAGGAAAGTAATAGTAACCCTCATTTATAAATCACCTACTTGAAGAAGGCCTTGACGAAAATGGAGTCCCTTTTCCAGAGAGATTGCCTAAAGAAATCAATTTAAGCAGAAATTCTTACCTCCATTCTGACATTTTTCTTATTTTGAGATATTTCATTATTTATTTTAGCAAGAAGTTCTGTTGGTTCACGCTCGCGTACATCAGCAAGACAATCAATAACAGACGATATGAGACAACTAACAGTATTCTAAATTTCGACACATAACAGGGATTAAATGCTTGAAAAAAGAAAGGAACAGATTAATATACATAGCAAAACACTAACATATTCAATATTATCTTTGCATTTTGAATGAAAATACTGGACAAATGTTGCAAATTTGTCATCGTCGAAATCACGAGGGTTTTGGAATTCTACCTTCGGTGGACTTTGAAATAAATGAATAAGTTTTGGCATGTGATAGGCGATCAAATACAAATTGACACTTACACATTTGGATATTCACGTTTACATCTTATAAGAACATCCAACTCCGGAGTCGGAAGAAAAAGGTTAAGTTTATCAAGGTCCGCATTTTGAGGCGCTCGTATATGAAATGCAATCTTAATCGGTAACGTTTCATCAGGGATATCTTCTTCATTTTCAATTAATTTCTAGAAAAATCATGATATGCACAAAAGAACATACAAAGTTGGGAAGACCTTTGATTGAAGTTATAAAGTCAGGATAAGTGTTAATGAGTAAAAATAGTTCGCATTTTTGCTTCGAGAGATTCTCCATCATTATCTCACACATTGCATGTTAAAAAATGCATTTAGATTTTTAATATCGTGGCCTTTGACCCCAAGGTCATAATAGAATATCTATAGCGAAGAAATTAAATAACTCTCTTAATTATCATTATTATCATTTCACCTAATTTTCTCGAGACATAAACGAAATAATAATGTTTAATGATGAAAAAGATTTGCCATCAGAATTAATTATCTTTGCTTGTTGTAGAAGATTAACAATTTTGAAACTTCGGAAATTTTTTTCGCAGATTTATCCAATAATTTTTTGGAATCAATTCGTTGCATTTGGAAATACTGTAAGAAAAAATGTTTGACCATGGAAATTTATAGTTTTTCGTTTCAAATATATAAAATTTCAAGGTTGATTATTGTTGGCTTATTGTGATTATTTCTAATATTGCTGCTGATCTTCATTTAATGTGTGCAATCCAGCTGTTGTTATATTTGTCTTTTTTAATTTCAAGCTAATTAGTTGGTTTACTTTATTTCATTACTCTTTCCTAATTCACGTGTCTGAGCCAATTTTATTTTTCACAATTTCACCGCTCTAGTTTGAAATGGACACATCTTTTGCTTCAAATCGTGGTGGTGCATTTACTTTTACATCTGATAAGCGTGCTTTGCTAAGCGCACAAAAGTTAGTTGCGACTCTTCCAACGTTCCTGGCTGATTGTCTTTTGCGAACTGATTCTGGTGAGTTTATCCTCGTAGTCTTTAAATTTCGTGCACATTTATGTTTCTATTACCCTTTTGTCTCTAGATGCTACTGTTAAGTTTATTCCTCATAATTGGATTTGCGTTGTAACGGATGGCAAACTTTTCTTATGGCGTTTTACTCATTTAAAGGATAATACTGTGAGTTCGTTTTAATGATATCATTCCTAATTTCGTTCTTTAATGGGCTTAATTGTTTTTAGGTTGGTACATCTTCCTCATGTCGTCAGTTTGAGCTTCCATCCAATCAAGGAGCCCATGCCGCTGCAGTCTCTGGTTCATGCTTCGAAAATGATGGTCGCCCACGCCTTTGTGCGGCTGTGGTTTCTGATATCCTGCGTATTTGGCCCCGTGGTGTCTTTGGAGCTGTTGGACGATCACAAGTTGTCTACGATTGCATAGATACTCGTCTCAACAGTCTTAAAAGTGGAGAATCGTGTGTGGCTTGTGAGGAGGGTCCATGCGTAAGTTTGTTTTATCCGTACTGAACATACCTGGTCGCTTGTTACTACCTTCATAATTTCAGTCTGGCACATTCCTGTTGGCTACCAATCAAGGTCGTATCTTTGGCGTTGATGCTCGAACACCTCAAGAACAAGTTTATGTCTTTCTCGTTAGTGATGGTGTCACTAACCTTCAATCGGTTGGTTCTAATACCGTGAATACTTCTGTTCAGCTCCAGATGAGCATGTCAGAGAATCCTGCTAACACAAGTCTCCTTTCCGGCCTTGGTCGTCGGGTTTCTTCGATTTGGTCTTTTGCTACGAGTAAAGTCCCCGTTCTCAATGTCTCCAGTTTGGTTTCTTTGGGTGGATCATCAACAACAGGAGTATGTCCTGTTTTAACCCTCGGTTTGACTGTTACTTCTAAGTATTTGTTTGTCCTCTTATAAATCTATTGAATATGTATTACTGGGCCTGGTCACAAACTAAGTTTTCTAGTTGGTGAGTGACTTATCTAGTAAGTTATTAAATCAAATGACTTTATAAAAGGTACGATTTAGACGGAGGGTATGTTTTTTTATGCAGCGTTTAGCGGGAAGGAAAGTGCCTTTTATAATTTGTAGATTTCGTTCTTGAAATCAACGTGCTCTATATGATTGCTGTTTGCATTTGGAGCTGGTTTTGGAAGTGGCAGGTTCTGATAGAGGTCATTTTTAGTGATTTAGCTGTTGCTTTTATTCTTGAAGCAGGACTTTGCATTCATCTTCATTTTTCGTATTTCTGCTTTTAACTAACCAATTTTTTGTCTGATAGTGGAAAAATGAGTCCATTCAAAATCGGCCAAGTTTCAGAGACTGGGCTTTAGCCTCTCCCACCCTTGGTGGTACTAAGCTGTCGGCATAAGCTGCGATTTGCAGCTGTCAGCAGCTCCATTTATCTATCATTTGTCCTCTAATACCGAAGTTAGCAGTAAAATAATACACCCCAACAATTATTTATATGAAATGGCAAGCTTTATGATAGTTACTATTAGCCCTTTAGTTAACTTCGGACTTCACAGAGAGGAGGTACATCAAAGCCAAAATGTCGGGGGG